GAATAATATTCTGAAAAGTTATAATTATCTCTTATTCTCAAAATCTCTTTTTCTTAATGCTCTGAATTCTCTTGTTACTAACTTTTTCTTTATACTTTGAATCCAGAAATTTATCTATCTTCTTATCTTCTAATAATTTAGATTCTGTACAAAAAGATAATGCAGATTCTGAGCTTTGGTCAATTTTACTAAGGTTAAATATTACAAAAGTAATATTTGCTATCTGTTTAAGAGTATTATCAAGATCTGTTTCAGAAGAAATAATATTCTGTATTGGATTTTGGAATATAGAGCCTATACCAATTTCTTTGTCAGAGTGAATTTCAATAATTGAGATGGATAATTGTGAGTCACCCTCTGGCCAAAAAATTACTGGTAATTCTAAACAAACTGAGAATTGCAAGATGTTAATATTCTTTTGTGAAGCAATGATTAAATTCTATTCTTAATTTGAGAGGTAGATTCGTGTTTTTCTGATTTGGAAATTGATGGTAATGATGAGCAGGCTAATAATTATAATTCTCACTTCTTAAACTCCTATTCTAAATTTGCAACTCTATCCTTAAGTTCAGAATTTTCCATCCGACTTTGCCTTGCATTCTCAGCATGTTTCTTCACAGACCATTCCAATTCTATAATTCTGTTATTAAGCTCTATATCTCTTAATTTCGCATACGAATCTTTCTCTTCTATAATCTGTTTTAGCTTCACATTTTCAGTCTCAATTTCAGAATACTTCTTTCTAATCTCAGTGATCTCGGCTACAAGCTTGGAATTTAATTCTCTTACAAATCAGTAGATATGGTGTTGGTCATTTTTTATACAAGGTACAGATATATTCAAATAATCACATCACACGAAAAATGCCAAGAAAAAATTCACTTCCGGCCCGTAAGCGAAATTTGCCAAGAAAATCTTCACGATCGGATGATTTAGCGGAGCAAGCACAAGGTGCTAATTTTCCGGGAAATTTTCTGCCGAAAAGTAATGTGATACACGCATTGTGCAACCGAATACATTTCTCATATCATAAATTTTGTAAACGAATCATTTTAGTGCCAATAAAGTCGAATCATTTTAGTGCCGATCCGGAATTGCTGATCACGAGCTAGCTCAATTTCGATTCCTAATTCATTAGCTGAGGTAGTTAGCTCATTAACCGTAGTAAATTACCCAACACGAATATTGTTTTGCGTTTGAATTCATAATGAAGCTACGAATTAGTTACTTAGGATTTCGACACAGAAGTCCGGCTTGCGTCGAATCATAATTGATTAATTTTCGCTGATCGACACATGAGCGACAAATTTCGCGTTCACTAATGTTACATGTCATATTCTGTAGTCTGGAGCTGAAGTCTATAAAAAACGCGCTATGAAGCAAGCCGTAACTTTATGTTCATCTTTTTGCCAATAAAAAGTGCAAAATCACTCACGAATCTTTTCGCTCTACAAAGACTTCGCTATCATCTCAATAACGCAAAATCGTGAAAAAACCCAGCATTACATTCAAAATGTTCCAATTCACTTCCGATTTTTTACTACAGGCCATCGTTATATTCGTTCAAACACTATTTCTATATATCGTAACAGATATAATTCTGGAAGCACTGAAAAACGATTCGACGCGAAAATGACTACCTCTCTCAAAAAAAGTATCGCTACTCTATCCGAAACTGTAAAGCATCTTGGTTATGACATTCGTGAGGTCCGAGATAGCGTTGCAAGGAAAAATTCCGAATCTGGCACTGGTAACATTTTCGAACTCTGGGAAGAAATCGATGAATTGTTCAAGAAGAAATTCGTGTTATCAAAATAAGAGGATATTTTTATATATAGTATGGAGTAGCAGGAAGGAACTCACATTTATGGGTTAGGGCTCGAGAGGCTTCCTCCCTTTAAACGCCCGTTACTCCAATAATTTTTATTAGTTTAGCCCCACCTAAAATATAATACCATCAAGCTTTAACTTTTTAAAGCTCTCATCACCAATAATATCCTTTAAATCATCCAAACTGTGGAGGGGACGTTCTTTGCGTTTCTTGTATACCGTATGACTGTCACTCTCAGTGAGCCCAATTAATCTAAGTGACTCGGGAGCTATTGAATTTATATATATCTTTTCATTTGCTATACAAATGAAAAGAGAACACATATCAGCCAGTACTGCAATTCAAAAAAAGGGACTTCAATTAACAAACGCACCAGATGCAAATTGTGCTCGGCTGGCATATGTGTATCCATAGAACTCTTGAAATTGTTCCCTAGATACCAATGCACTGTTTTTTTTACTCCCTATCTTCAGGTCGGCTTTCGTATCTGCATTCGTTAGAAATAGTAGAGCCCAATTTTGCACTGGAACTTCCTTCATAGCTTTGGTGACCTTATATATGAACCAACAATTAAATAATGCATATGCATATGCATATCCAATATTGATGAAGCAGTATTACCTTGCGATGCTCCTCATCGAATAATTTTTGGTCAATGATCATTGGCGTAACTGCCTCAGTATCTGATAGTTTGACTTGCTCACCCAGGAATAAAGTTTTGTGTTCGTGTTTTTCAATATCAAAAAATCCAAAGACATCAAAGGGTGCCCCCGGCGCATTTAAGAACACATGACCTATATATTTATTAATACAGCCATTCTTCAAATAATCAAGTGTGATATAGTCGTGCCTCGCTTCCACATTGCCGTCATATCTCACTTCTTTATTCTGATTAGTTTTGGTAACTGAAATTATAAGAGATCGGTGTTTGAGTTTTGATGTGGTTTTATATCACAAGAAAATCTGTAAGGCGTAATACCTGGATACCGATGTTGTAATTTATACAATTTGATAATGATATCTTCAGGAAGGACAACTTCAACATCTGGAAATTCGCTAGAAAATGTTGCACCTTTAAGAAGTTCCTTCAACTGGATTGTCTTGCGTCCTAATAATTTGAAGAGACTGAGGCGTAACGCCAAGAATTTGACATTGAAATTCTCAAAGTTCTGCCAGAACATTGGCTCATCATACTTAAACATGGATTGCCAATACTGCATCCCAGGATTATTGGAGCATTCAACGAGTACACTTGCCCAAACGTAAGGTAACCTAATATAGTAGTCACCTGTAGCCTGTGGTACCAGATTCCCGATTCCCATTGAACTGAGTTGCTGATAGCTAATTGATACATTGTCAATTGTGATCTTGTCATATTTGTTAACTGGCAGGCCCAATATGGCTTTCACGAGAGGTTCTGTTAACCACGGTGAGTGAAACTTTATGCGATACGTGTTTTTGATAAAACCTTTGACGGTCTCCATAATGTTCTCAATTTTAACTTGATAAGGATCTTTTTCTGGTTCTTTCAACGCTTGTGAAAAGTGTTCGTAGAAAGACTCCAAAGTTCTCACGTGTCCTCCAATGTCGCCAATACCAACTCTAAAATAAGGATTGGTCTTGACATAATCATCGTCGAATAGATTTATAGCCTTGCCAATCTTGATTGCATCGTTCTCTTTAAGGAGGTGTAATGGGAGGGGAAGTGGTTGGTGCATAGAATCCGAGATATATTCTTCTAAAGGTCCTTCAATTGTTCCAGCCAGGATGGGAATGAAAAAAATGTTCGCAGGTGATCCACACATCAAGCTCCCAATGGTATTTATGAGGTTCTTTGAGGCCTTTTTGTCTACATCATGCAGTTTGTTGAACTCGTCAATTCCAACTACCATAACCAATAGAGGATGAGAGGTTGCTTGTTTCTTTTGCAGAATGTCAGCATAGACAAC